GAGAATCCACAGAGACCAAGACAGCTAGAGTTCATAGGACAAAATGCCAGAGGGAATAGAATGTGGTGCTCACACAGGTCCAGGAATAATGTCTGTGCTTCTTACCAGAGTAGAAAAAATTGTAACTCATGGAGCATTGGGTAAGGGACTTAGTAGTTGGGAACAATTAGCTCTAGATGGAGCACTCCTCCAGAACTCTCTAACAAATTGTAAAAGCAAGAGATGAAAGGTTTAAACTGTTTCCAAGTAACTGAAATGCATCCCTGAACAAAGCTAAAGGTTTACAGGAATGCAAAAATATTCAGCACCCAACAAAATGAAATTTACAATGTCTATCATCCAATCAAAGATTATCAGACATGCAGAGGCAAGAAAACATGACCCACAGTGAAGAGAGTATCAATTGAAGCCCACCCAGAACAGACACAGATATTAGTATTAGCAGAGTAGGGAGGTAAAAGTTATTATAACTGTATTCTACATGTTTGAATAAAGTTAAAACATGTAAAATATAAAAAAGATCAAAATTGAATTTTCAGAAATAGAAACGAAAACTACAGTATCTGAAATAAAAAATTCAGTGGATGGTGTTTGACATAGAAGATTTGAGAAATATAAAGTCTCTCAAAAAATATTTCTTGAGCAAAACTGATTAATTGTATATGCGCTGAAAACCTAGAGTGTGATGGATTATCTTTGTTAATCCAGTTAATTGAGAGAAAATACAATGATAGACTCCATTACAACTAACTCAAACATTTTCTTGTCAGTAACAATTTGTCGTCAAGGTATCAGGCTGTATTTTTGTCAAGGTTGTAAATAAAGAATGCTGACAAAGAATGCAAAGGTTATGGTTATGGAATTGTGTGTGGTATTAGAGTTTTTGTTTGTGAAATATATGCATTAAAAATAAGATTTCAGAATAATTATTTTCATTTTGTTTCATAAGTTTATGATTGATTTTCCTACCCAGCTGCTAAGGTTTTTGAGGGTATCAGCATATATTTTTACATGTTCTGAATGCTCCCTAAAATACTTAGCATGGTGCTTCCCAGAGTGAGTGGTCAGTAGAGTTTATAATGTAAAAGAGGGAATCCTCCAACTATGATGATGCACTGAAGTGCATCTGCTGCTACGAAGGCAGCACCAGAATCATCCCTCTGGACCAAATGTAAATAAAAACAAAGTCTCTTATACGGTTGGGGGTTGAGTATGGCAGAGAGAAGCTCATCTCAGCTAAGAAGCTTTTCAATCCTACTTTTTTAGGTATATTTTATTGATTATGCTATAACAGTTTTCTAAATTTTCCCCCCTTTATCTCTTTCTGCCCTGTACCCCCCAACTCTCCAACATCCCCCCCGTTCGTGGCCAGAGTTATACATATAAGTTCTTTGAATTCTCCATTTCCTATACCATCCTTAACTTCTCCCCATCTATTTTATGCCTACCAATTATGCTTCTTATTCCCTATACCTTTCCTCCCCTATGTTTCCCCTCCTATTCCCCACTGAAAACACTCCATGTGATGTCCATTTCTCTGGTTCTGTTCCTGTTGTAGTTATTTGCTTAGTTTTTGTTTTCATTGTTTTTCTTTTTTTTAGGTTCAGTTGTTGATGTGAGTTTGTTGTTATTTTACTGTTCATAGTTTTTGATCTTCAATTTCTGAGATGAGTCCCTTTAACATTTCATATACTAAGGGCTTGGTGATGATGAACTCCTTTAGCTTGAGCTTATCTGGGAAGCTCTTAATCTGCCCATTCATTCTCAATGATAGTTTAGCTGGATAGAGTATTGGATGTAGGTCTTGCCTTTCATGACTTCAAATACTTCTTTCCAGTCCCTTCTTGCTTGTAAAATTTCTCTTGAGAAATCAGTTGATAGTTTTATAGGAACTCCCTTGTAGGTAACTCTCTCCTTTCCTCTTGCTGCTTTTAGGATTTTCTCTTTGTCTTTAATCTTGGGTAACTTAATGATGATGTGCCTTGGTGTGTTCCTCTTTGGGTCCACATTCTTTGGGACTCTCTGGGCTTCCTGGACTTCCTGGAAGTCTATTTCCTTTGCCAGGTTAGGGAATTTTCCCTTCATTATTTGTTCAAATAAGTTTTTAACTTCTTGCTCCTGTTCTTCTCTTTCTGGCACCCCTATGATTTGGATATTGGAACATTTAAAGTTGTCCCAGAGGTTCCCAAGCCTCTCCTCATTTTTTTTGAATTCTTGTTTCTTCATTCTGTTCTGGTTGAATGTTTCTTTCTTTTTTTCTGGTCCACACCACTGATTTGAGTACTGGTTTCCTTTTTGTCACTGTTTGGTTCTCTGAATATTTTGCCTTATTTCACTTTGGGTATCCTTCATTTGTTCTTTCATTTTGCGACCAAACTCAATCAGTTCTATGAGCATCCTGCTTACCAGTGTTTTGAACTCTGCATCTGATAGGTTGTCTGTGTCCTCATCACTTAGCTCTTTTTCTGGAGTTTTGATCTGTTCTTTCATTTGGTCTCCATTTCTTTGTCTCGGTACACCTGTTATGTTATGAGGGGGTGGGGTCTCGGTATTCAGTAGGGCAGGGCAACCCTCTTTCCTGCCTTGTGACACTGTGTGGGGGAGGGGTCAGAGGGAACAATAGGCTCACTTGCTGGGCTCTGGCCCCACTTTCCAGTGAACTCTTGTGTGAGACTGGGAGTTTCTCCCACTGTAGCAACCCCTGCTATAGTTTACAGTTAGTTTTGAGTCTTAGTTTCCTATTTAGCCAGCCCTTCCTCACTTGCAGGGTCCGCTGCCTTGCCAGGGGTCTTCTCCCACCTGCCTGGCTGCTCATCTCCTTCCTATTGGTCTGTTTGAATATTTAATTCCTTCATTGTCAGACTTCCATGCAGTTTGATTTTCTGGCTGTTTTGGTTTTTTATTATTTTTAGATTGGGTGTTATTCTCCTTTTGGTTGTGTGAGGAAGTGAAGGGTTTCTACCTACGCCTCCACCTGGCAGGAATTCTGACACTATTTCCTAACCTGTCCTGCAGCTTTGTGAAGTTGTATGACTTCAAGCCTACCTTAAAACCAAAGGACTAAATTCTGTAAATTACTCCTTAGAGCCCTGACTTTATTCACAGGTAATGCTGATTAGATTTGGACAAATCAAGTGCTTTTTGGGGGTTAATTAATGACTAATGACTCTGAACTAGGTATTTGGAGAAATAAAAGAATAAAAAGAACTTGGAGGTGGATATATTTAGGAGATTTGGACAGGGCAGATTTAGAGTGCAAATGCTAGTGTTTAAAAATGTCTTGAGAAAAAATATGTCCTTCCCATTTAATGGAAGTCAGACTACCTGGGGGTAGAGTGGGCATTTCCTTTCTTGGTCAAAGAAACATTGTCTGATTTTCATAGGCAAAGGTATTTAAATAAAGAACAAGCTTTCTGAAACCTCAATTTCTAATATGTGTTGCAAGTTTTTTAGGAACAAATTTATAAACATTACAAATTAGAGTCTTCACAGATTAAAGCCAAAGTGTGAAGAGCTTTCAGTAAACTACTTATTAGCAAGATAGAGAAAGCTTTTTCTAGTATCCTAAATGGAATTTTGTTAACTGTCTTTTATTTTATTTTCAATTTTATTTGTATGTTTATTTGTAGTGTTGTCTCCCAGCTGGAATCCCGTAGCTTGCATGTGCATTTTGTTGGTAGCAGCAGCACCTGCGTGGCCTTTACTGTTGCAGAAGGAATTAGGTGGATTGGCTTCTCTCTCCATAAGCAAGAAATGCATGATTGGGGAGATGAAAAATAATATAGAAGGAAAAGACCTTAGATATTTGGGAAAACCTTATCATTTTTTATGTTTATTTTTGCTGCTACATGATGTAAAGAATAATAAAGTTAGAGTAACCAGCATTCAAGGTTTTCATTTCTTTCCTCTATGTTTATTTGAATCAGTAGAAAAAAAATTGAATTATATAGGAGGAGGCACCTGCACACTACTGGGTACAGGTACCTAAAAATCCTGACCTATCAAATGCAGCACAAGCATAAATAGAAGAACAGATTAAAATTGACAACATGTAACTCCTAATTATGAAGAGTTAGAGGAAAAGGAGAAGCTTCTAAAAAAGGGATTTACCAGTTGGAATGAGAGATTTTTTAACCAATTTAATGAGAAGTGGAATCAACAATATTGAAAATATAGTAAGAGATGTAGAAGGAAAAACTCTAGAGGAAGTCAATGAAAACTCAGCTGTGTTCTGGGAAAGATGCAATGAACTATAAGATATAGATAAGATGATCGCTCCGATTAAATGGGAGACGTAAGAATTCAGAGAAGAATTTGTGTCAGAGAAACACTTGACATAAAGATTGGGTGGTACAAAGCACTTTTTCATCAGCTGGGACATCATATGGTACTCACAAAGGGGAAAAAAAAACTATACTAAAGAAAAGGGTTGCCTGATTTGTGTACTTGGATTCAACAAAGAAAATTTATATGATGAAATGAGATGGTATATTCACAACTCTCGGTTCAGATTGACTGAGTTCTTAAGTACAGAATTAAGCAAGGGAGCATCAGAGATGTGTAACAAGAGACGGCACAGGAGGGGAAGATTACAAAGGGGCACCAGGAAACTTGGAGGTATGATGAACATGTTCATTATCTTGATTGAAGACATGGTTTCACAGGTTTTTTTACATATGCCAAAACTTACTACATTGCATACTTTAATACATGTTGTTTATTTTGTCAATCGTGCTTAAATAAAGCTCTTTTTAAAACCTGTATGCAAAGAAATATAAGACCTGTACACAAAAGGGAAGAGTAGCTTCCCTTTTAAAGTTCTGAGAAGATGAAGGAACAAGTCCAGGTAACCTCTTTGTAACTCCTTCCCAGTTATGTCTTTACCAGGAGTTTGTGCTGTTCCAAAGTGTTTTCAGTGTTAGAGGTGTGTTGTTAGGATCTATGTAGTCAAATATTGCTATTGTCACTCAAGATACAATTTTATGCATTTTGTATTTCAGGGCTCATGAATCAAGGAAACAAACCTGAAAAATGGATTAAGGCTGATGCCCCAAAAGGCACCGTAAGTTTTAGAAGTCAAAGCTGGTTTCAGTCCCTGAAACTGCAAGACTAAGGATGGTTTGAGTTGTAATTCATAATTTTAACAATGATTAGTAGATCCATGACTACAAAAATGCACATACTACTTTCATGTAAATGTTGAAAATGACAAATTATAACAAATCATCAAAGTGGATGAGCACTAGTGAACTGTCTTGTGGGGGAGGGGCTTCAAAATTTATACTAGCTATTGTATTAGTTTTATTATTCTGTAACAAATTACCACAAACTTAAATGACTTAAAATAGTACCCATGTATCAATTCACAGTTCTGTAGGTCAAGAGTGTGCCTAGATTTTCTGTTCAGGGGAAACAAAAAGATAGTGATTAACTCCATTTAAGAGATAAGTCACAGAGCATATAGAACTGTTTTGTCTTTTGTATCTGGAACTCGCAGTAAAGCCTTGTTTCCTTTAAAAATGTATGTTTATGTCCTTTATAATAAAGCTTCACAGATCCTTGTCATTTGCCCTGGCTCGAACTCTTACTCTGACTTATAAGGCCATCTCTGCTTTATTTTTCTAAAGAGAAACTTCTAAATCCCTTGTCAAAAACATCACATCTCTTATGGTTGTTTTATGTAAATGTAACCATGGGTTTGTTCATCTCAAAACTATTGGTTTAAAGTAAATTTACTTGGAAAATTTATATATATATAGTAGTAGTACTTAATTTGGCTTTTTAAAAATCATGATTATTAGCCCTGGCTGGGTTGCTCAGTTGGTTGGAGCGTTGTGTTCTGCACCAAAAAGGTTATTGGATTGATTCACAGTCAGGGCACATACTCAGGTTGCAGGTTCGATCCCCAGTTGGGGAGCATATGGGAGGCAATTGATGTTTCTCTCTCATGTGGAAGTCTCTCTTTCCCCACGCTCTGCTTTTCCCTGTTCCTGTTTTTCTTAAAAAAAGATCAATAAATATATCCTTGGGTGAGGACTTTTTAAAATAATAAAGTAAAATAAAATCATGCCCTGGCTGGTGTAGCTCAGTGGATTGAGTGTGGGCCTGCGAACCAAAGGATCGAGGTTCAATTCCCAGTCAGGGCACATGCCTGGGTTGCAGGCCAGTTCCCAGCAGAGGATGCACGAAAGGCAGCCATACATTGATGGTATTTCTCTCCCTCTCTCCTTCCCTTCTCCTCTAAAGATAAATAAAGTCTTTAAAAAAATAAATCATGATTAGACAGAAGAACTAATGAAGAACTTGGGTATTTAGAAACATTTGTAGTTGAAATAATCAGATGATTTGCTGCTGTTTACACCATCAAGATCCATTTAATAAAAATACTTGCATCAAATGAAGTTGCCCAGTTCTTGATTTTTTGTTTCTCCTGCTTTAGGTGAAGGTCATACTACTTCCTCTTCACTATTGTATGTCGGCTCTTTCACTGTCAACTCTGTATCTGTAAGTGGTGCTGTATCCTGTTGCTCTCTTAGAGGCTTGCCTTCACAATCATAGCCAAACCAAAGTGGAGGGTCATTAGGGCTGTATTCCTGCTGCTGAACTATAGATGACATTTTCTCAGCTGCCTCCCTGTAATAACAGTGCTTAGCATTAGCTACATGCAGAAGGAATCATTAGTGCAGAATTTTCAAACTACTTCAAATTGGGAGTCAAAGAACTCACCGGCAAGAGTTGAATTCACTTTTCACAGCTTTCTTGCCTTGCTGAGCATGAGGGTGTTGGTAATTGTGCTAATAATTAGGATCCCAAGGCTAGAATAGCTCAGTAGCCCTCCAGTTCAGCCAGTTCAGAGATTAACACAGTGACTGGGTAAGGAAATTGCATGGAGCGGGAATACTGAGGACAACTTTATAGTGCTCTTTAGGGAGCCGTCTGGTATTTCCAGTGTCTTAGTTAAGGGAGTACCCTTCCCGGCCAACCTGTGAAGGCTAACCGTGCACCTGAGCAGGAGCTCTCAACCCAAAGTCTACAGATGCCTGTTGGATACATGGACCAACTTAAGAGAGGTCTGTGAACTTTCAACACAATTCATACAGTTTTGTATCTGAGGAGAAGGTTTATGACTTATCAAATTCTCAAAGGTGTCTGTGACAAAAATGATTAAAAATATTATTACTGTCTTTCTCAGTAATAAGAAAACAAAGAGAGCGTTGTTCTGGACCCCAATTCTAACACGGGGGTATGTGTGTTGGTGGGCAGGTTCCCGCATACCTACCAAGCAATTCTCAGACCCCAAGCTGGGTGTCCCACCATTCAACTCAATTCTAACACTGTCTACCCAGAGGTAGCATCAGAATCCACAGGTTAAGGGCTCAGTCCCACAAGACCACCCTTCACTTTGGATGCCAGTTGCAAGTCCAGGTTGTCATCTGGGCTTTTGACTGTTTGGCTGTATTGATCAGAATTTCCAATACCCACCTCCTTGGGTTCAGTTAATTTGCCAGAGCTTCTCACAGAACTCAGAGAAACTTTACTTGCTGGACCCCCAGCTTATTATAGAGCAAAGGTACCTAACCCACTGGTCCACAGCCTATTAGGAACCAGGCCACAAGCAAAGCTTGCCGGAGCTCTGCCTCCTGTACCACTCCCTCACCCCACACCCATCCTCTGCAAAACTCGTCCCTGGTTCCAAAAAGGTTGGGAACTGCTGTTAACAGAGGGTATAACTCAGGAAGAGCCAGGTGTAAGAGATGCGTTGGGAAGGGTTTGGGAGAAAGCGCAGAGCTTTCACGCCATCTTCAGTCATTGCCCCTCGCCCCAAATCCCCGTTCATTCACCAACCCAGAAGCTCTCTGAATTCTGTCCTTTTGGGGTTTTGTGGAGACATCTTTACACAAACAATTGATTAAATCAGTGGCTATTGGTTATTGATTCAACCTCCAGCCCCTCTTTGCCCCCTGGAAAACAGGGTATGGGGCTGAAAGTTCCACCCCTTTCTTCATGGTGTTTTCCCTATGCAACCAGCCCCCATCCTTATGTTTATTAATATAAACCTAGTTGTGGACAGAGTCTTGTTCTGGATAATGAGACACCCATTTCACCTTTATGGCTCTGAAATGATTTCAAGAACTGAGGACCAGAGACCAAATATGGTCTTCCTTTTGCTCTTATCACTCAGGAAATTCCAAGGGTTTGGGGAGCTGTGAGCCAGGAACCTTGGAGGGACCCCTGCAAAAAATGGAATTACTGTCTGGAGGGTGGCCCTTGTACAGGCTTCCCCCCACTAGGTGAGTGTTCTAGGAGCCCATCTGTACTAGTGCACCAGCTGGTGGTGTTATGAGAGGCTGTGTTCAGCTTCAGTGATTTTTCTTGCCTTTCAGTGAGTTTGCTCATTTCATGGGTGATTTACGAGCGCATGTGCCCACACCATGCTGAGTGTTCAGTTTTTGAACAAAACACAGTGACCCACATGCCCCACCCTCTCTGTTCACCTGATCTTGCTGCGAGTGACTTTTTTTGGTTTCCTCGGATGAGAAAAAACCCTCAAAAGGAAATGTTTTGCCAATGTGGAAGAGGTGAAACAAAAAACAGTAAAAGCAGCCCTGGCTGGCGTAGCTCAGTGGATTAAGCGGGGGCCTGCGAACCAAAGGATCATGGTTCGATTCCCAGTCGGGGCACATACCTGGGTTGCTGGCCAGGTCCCAGCAGGGGATGCACAAGAGGCAGCCATACATTGATATTTCTCTCCCTCTCTCCTACCCTTCCCCTCTAAAGATAAATAAATAAAATCTTTAAAAAAAAACAGCAAAAGCACTGAAGGCATCAAAATTGACAAGTTCAAAAACCATCTTGAGCAGTGGAAAAAATGTGTCAGTAGGTGTATTACATCAAATGGAGAGTACTTGAAGGTGACTGAGTTTAAGCATGTAAGAACAAATACACAATTTTTAAATAAATTGCATTTTTGGGTCCCCCTCATATATGAGAATTATAACTTCTTATAAGTCATCATTCAGATGACCACCTATATATTTTCTTATAAATCACAATATCATAGCATCAGGAAAAAGGTATATTTAACTTGAAATTAATTTGAGGATAGAAGGATTTTTGTAGGAAGGTTGTTTGAATCTTGAGACCAGTACTAAAAAGGAAATGAGTAAGTGGCAACTTTTGTAGGATCAGTAATGACTAATATTTGTGTGTGAAGGGGGCTACTTTGCCCACTATTGCCATATAGTGCATTGAGTTATTAATTGTAAAAGTCTGGAAACTGAGTCATTGATATAAAGGCTGTATTTATCATAAGCTTGGAGCTGAATTTGTTCTTAATGGTTATATGAGTTCAAGTAGAGCAATGAAATTGGGAAAGGCTAAGATACATCAGTTGTTTAAAATGCTGTTTTACTTGAATCAAATCTTAGAAGTATTAAAACACTTCTAAAATAGTTGTAACCAAACTCAACAGGGAGACAACCAAAGCATTGCTAATTCTGTCTCCTACCATGTTGCTTTTTGACTTTCATATTTGCACTCCCACAAACTTATACAAGTTTAAAGAACACTTTGAGTGAAAGAAATTATTATAGCAACTTAAGTATAGTTCTACATTTTAAACTTACTACATAATCTTTATATGTCCTCTAAGTAGAAATTGTTTTTCAAGATTTCATTTGCTTCATTAAGTAATTAATCATCAGGGCAGCATCTCTTCTAGCAACTAAAAGGATGCTCTTAATAGGGTATTTTTACATAAAAATAATAGTGTTATATCTTTAGCTTTTGAATTTTCTTCTGAACAGTTTTCTCCCTTTTTATTCTATGGAGTTGTGATTGCCATGTCTTTGAAGGTGTTTTTTTGTGAGATTGTTTTCACTCAAGGACCTATCACAACATAATACCAAATGTTGGGGGAATTTGAAGCGAAAAACATTGGCACCGTCAGCTTCTAACGGGTAAAACTGTCCTGGGCAACAGAACTCCATTGTTACTTATCCTTCACCTCATGTGTCTGTCTAAACTTGATCCATCTTTCAAAACTCCAAACCAGTCCAGCCTCTTGTAGAGACCCAAACCCGATTCCTTCCTCCTCTGAACTTCTATAGGAAGTTGACCATAGAATTAATTTCTTCCCAATACATAACTTCATGGCATTGTTTATAATTTTAAACTGTTCTTTTCCTTCTTAAACTGTTTAAGAAGACAGTAAGTTATTTAAGGGTGTATTAACAGTTCTTTGTATCATCTTGAAACCTAGCAGGAAGAGCCAAAATGAGATTTCGGCAGCTTAACCAAGAAGGGAAGTCCTTTAGCTCTCTCGTTTTCTGCTGGTTTATTGGTTTTGAAAAGGCATTCTTGGGTTTCTATTTCCTGACCTCTGCCTCCAAAGAGCAGAGCTGTGGACACAATTGTAGTGTACAGTTGTTGGTAATGATTCAGTGTCACTGATGATAACAACACTACTGCACTTAG